TCTCTCTCTCTTTCTCTCTCCCTGTCCTTCTCCCTCTCTCAGTGGTAAGTTCACTGAAGTAGACAACAGAGGTAAGTACTCTCTTCCCCTCTCTGTTTGCCATTGGCTTACTGTTTTACTGTGCTGTCAGTTCCAGTGTATTTTCCCACAGTAGACAAAGGTCAGGTTTACTATTACTGATGCAAAAGCTGTGCGTGTGTTTGTGCCTTTCTTCGTTCTCTTGAAATCTGCATTGTACTGTACAATCAGGTCAGTTTCTACAATGTGTCTGTGTGCTTTGCCAGCTGTCATGTGCACATAGATAGTGTCTGCCAGTTTACTTACCCTGGCAATAAGCAAACAACTATGTGTGTGTGTTCTTAACAATTCAATTGTTATCTTGTTCATCACTCTTTTCTATCACAATAGCCTTGTGAATACAGACAGCCTGTTAGACCCTTTTTTGTCTCTGTATAAACTGTGGATGTATAAACTCATATTATCGACAATGGCATCAGTGTGTACTTGCGCGCGTGCGTGCGTGTTTCCAATCCCATTATAAACAATGGAAACACAGTGAGTACTTAGGAAGGAATACAAAAACCAAACAAAGCAGCAGCAGACCATATATATTCAAGATTAAAATAATACCTGCAACAGGAAGTTAAAATTATTAATGACTCTTGGTTAACACTGACTCCTTGCTATGAAATATACAAGTTATCTTTTTTGATTGAAGCCAACTATTCTCTTGTTTTGTACAAAACACCACAGCTGTTTCCACAATAATGAGTGTGAAACTGGTTTCTCTTCAATCATTCTCCAAAGGGTAAATCTTGTTGATCTTTCAGCATTAGCTAAGTACTTCGGTGGAATACCCTTTCAAACGTGCTGTGGCTGAAATAACAACCAACCTAGAATCAATGAACAGCTTGGCTCAAGTTCAGACACACCGAATCAGAAATCCATCTGTAGTCCTTGGTTACAAAACAACACAATTAAATACTTTCCGTAACCCCCGGACGGACTCCCTCTCCTACATACAAACACACATGCTGTGACATCACTCACATCTGGATGCAAGATTGGCTAACACACCCCCTTCCTTCCTCTTTCCAATGTGGCCCCATCTTCCCCTTTCTACCCTCTCGCTTCTCCTTCCTGTCTGTCTGTCTTTCCGCCCCCGCTCTCAGAGATGAAAGAGAAGAACCCCTGGCACACGCCTGTGACCATCATCATCACTGTGATTGGTGTCATAGCGATTGTTGCCTTGGTGACAGTAGCAGTTTTGCAGAACAGGCCCCTCCTCCAAAAGTACAAGGTATGGTAGAGGAAAATGCTAAAATGTTGTAGCCTGTTCCCTGTGTGGGAGCCCCCTGTATTACAGTGGGATCTCTCCACAGTCCACAAGCCAAATATGGTCTCTTGTCAGTGTGACCTCAACCTGTGCTACTGGTTCTAGAAATCCACTACCAAATAAGGCCAGTGGATGTTGATAAGAATATTAAAACATCTGTCCTTTTTTGTCACAAATGCAGCCCCATTTGGAGTCTCACGGATATCATTCATTACAGGTCATTACAGCGTCTAGGGTGCTGTTTTACTAAGTAGTATGAGCACTAAACCAATATTCTTCTGTAAGCACAGATACAAGTATTGCTGATATAGTTTTGGGAAGTTTATCCGTGGGCTATACAATCATTACAATGAATGTTTAAACAGTATGCCTGGATGGAACTCATCCAGAGTTTATGTCTCTGAGCGATGAACTGGAATTACTCCTTCTGTCCCCACTCCAGTATGGGATTGTGCTGGACGCTGGTTCCTCCCACACAGCTCTATATATCTATGAGTGGCCAGCAGAGAAGGATAACAACACTGGAAGAGTTGAACAGACGCATTCCTGCAAAGTAAAAGGTATATGCTGCACAGTGCATCACACACTTAGTCCTCACATTCACATGTACAACCACTAATGCATTCTAATGTAAACTGATAGGACGCGCAGTTATAAGTTTATATAAACATGCACATAATTTATGTATTCCACTTGCACTAAAGGTTATTAAATATCCCAATTTTACAACACTAGATTATGGTTAAGTTCAAAACACAAAATAATGGATTCATTTATGGTCAATAACTCTTTCATGCATCGATTCACTAATTAGTCATTTATGTAACAACGTTTGGGTTGTCAGAGATAAAAAGTGTTTTTGTCTGTGTTTATTCGCCTCAACCAAAAATAAATAAATTGAAGCATAAGTTGCAGATACATTTCAATCAAATCAAATAATCAGCTAATCATCTCAACTCTAAACCACTTACTGTCTGTAAAAGAGTAAGCAGTATTAAAAACTCATTAACATTTAATGCCAATGCCTTATATGGATTATTGTACTTTATTAATGATTTACTTACATTTATGGCTGCTGACAGCTTGCATAACTGAGAAACCCATCACGCTCGCTCTACTGCTGATTCATGAATTAAAGCACTCTGTGATAAGCCTAAAAAGTCACTGGGTATAGCTTTCTAAAGACGTCATTAAGTCTAAGTCAGTTTGTACAGAAGATAAGTGGTTGTATAGTTCATTGGATGGTTCTTCATGATGAATTCAAGAGCTAGCTAAAGAGAGAAAGCAAACTGTTTTGAAGGGGCACAAACACAAATCAAATGCACTTTCACAACCTAGCAACCCAAAAGTTTTCCTAAATATGAAGCTAAAGCCAGCTGGACAATCTCAGAGTGACGACAAAAGTCTACGAGGTTCCTGCGTCCCACCAAGAAAATAGTTCTTGAACCCGTAAAAATTGTTGTTTTTTTCTTTTCTGTTTTTCCCAGGTTAAACAAATGACATATAACGACATAGCCAGAGCTAGCACTTACCGCACTTCCAGTCTGAATTCTAAGTTAAGTTAATCACATGCTGACCATAGAATCATACCGTACTTGAGAATGGCATCAACTAGATTTAACAACTGCTTTTTATCTATCAAAGCCCCGTCGGTGTGCTGGTCTAATGTAAATTGCATTGACTATCAAAGCTTAAAGTAGAACACTTTCATCACCATTCAGGCACCAGACTGCACATAGAGACAAATAGTGAATAAGGTTTGCTTAAAACTACATTGCACAGCAATATTTCAAAGAAACCATATTTTATTTAGCTATTCAGTAGATAGAAGTTGGAAAGTATTGTGAGATAGTAGTGTGTGATAGTGTGAGAGAAGTAAGGCATTGCTGGTTTTCATGGGAAAAAAATTGAAGAACACCAAATGTATCCTTTTACCCAGGTACATTAACTTAGAAGTTAACACCTGAATCTACTCTCAGGTAAAATGGATGTGCACATTCAGGCTGAATATGTAATCAATACTCCTGGCTGTAATTTTGCCCACTGGGAAACTCAAATAGAGAAACCTGAGGTTTGAAATCTTGTTTAAGGTAGGTACAGCAGGCATGCTTACATCTAGATAACGTCTTGACAAAGCTTTCTTTCCCTTAGCAAATTTCCTTTCCAGAATTCCCAGAAAGATGACCTCCAATCCCCAAGAGGGCTAGCATCTCTGAACTCAAGGCTCTTATTATGTTTTATGGTCGCTAAATTTAGGCTGAATGACTTCACCCTCCTTTTGACATTTTGCTCAACTTGCAGGTCCAGGTATCTCCAGCTATGCGTCCGCTCCATGGAAGGCAGGGGAGTCTCTGAGAGCGTGCATGCAGGAGGCAGAGCAGCGGGTCCCTGGTAAAAGATACCACGAGACCCCTCTTTATCTGGGGGCTACTGCAGGAATGAGACTGCTGAAGTACGCCACACACATCCCCATAATCAAACATAAAACATGCATCCTCAAAAAAGTAACACAGCAGGCTTTTCATGCTGACACTTGGGTGACCGTATATCCAAAACCTTAACTCTGTAATTGTGTTTGCACTGGCAGCTGAAGTGCTGCTGCTATCTGTAGCCATTTCCCTCCGCCTATTTTGTGATTTATCTCCACTTGAACTTAACTGCCAGAGCAGCGAATATGTTACTGTCAAACCCATTATATACGACACAGTCTATTTATTATTTATGTACTGCTATATTGATTTGAATTATGGATGTGAGTCACTCAAATTAATTTGTGTTGTGTGTGCATGCAGTATGGAGAACAGCTCGGCGTCAGCGAAGGTCTTTCAGGCTGTGGAGGAAGCACTGCAAAAATTTCCCTTTTCCTATCAGGGAGCGAGAATACTCAGCGGCCAGGAGGAGGGTGCGTTCGGTTGGGTCACAGTCAACTACTTGGATGACCGCCTAAAACAGGTCAGTAGGTGTATGACTGGATGCACGCAGATTTGTTCACTTTTAGATGTGTGTTTTGTTTTTTGTCAGTTAGGAAATGTGCGTCAGTGAGTGTGCTCCTGCTGTGCAGTGACTTCAATGCCTTTTTGTCTGGGCTGCAGGGCTTGGAAACCACAGGTGCCCTGGACCTTGGCGGGGCCTCAACTCAGATTAGCTTTGTATCCGATAATTATGACGGTTCAGAGTCACCGAGCAACTCTGTGACCTTCCGACTCTACGGAAATGATTATAACCTGTACACTCACAGCTTCCTGTGCTACGGGAAAGACCAAGTACTACGAATGGCGATGGCATACCAGACTCAAGTAAATGTCTGATTTTTTTTTCTCTGACTGAGGATCTAATCTGAGATATGATATTTTGAGACTTAATAATCTGTAAGAGAAGCTGTCCTTGAATTTAATTAGATTCCTCTCTATCTTGCTCTCTCTCCTAGACAGGTCCAGAATCCATATTAGATCCTTGTTTCCACCCTGGCTACAATGCAACAAAAAACTACTCAGTCCTATATGACAGCCCCTGCGTGTCAAACAGGAAACCCCAGAGAGCTCCTGTAACCTTCACTCACAAGGGGAAAGGAAACTTCCTAGAATGCCAGAACGTCGTCAAAAGTGTCTTCAACTTTACTCACTGCAATTACAACCAATGCTCTTTCAATGGAGTCTTCCAGCCACTTCTGCAGGGCCCATTCGGGGTAACGTAAAATGTATTATTTATCAGCACATTTATCAGTGGTCTAAGAGACAGGAAATATATTGCAATTTAATAAAAATAAAAAAAAATACAATAATAACAACTGTCATAGTATAAAGAACACGCCACCATACAAATACAATCTAAGTAAAAAAAGTTTACTTTTTAAGCAACCAGAACTTCATAACCCTCGTGTATGTTTACAACATTGCTATCTAGTGGTTGGGGGTTTAAACACAAAAACTGATACAATGTTTTTGAGAATCAAAACAATATAAAAAAAATAGTGTCAGTGGTATCTAGTAAGGATGAGTGAGTACACCATTATCTATATCTGTAGTAGTTCAACCAACTAACTGTACTTGTAACAGCCCCCCGGGCTGTTACAAGTACCTATAACTTAACCTATAAGTGGGCAGGACTAACCGGAAGTTAATTTAAGCCTGAAATTGATACGGGTTGATCAGGAGTTGCTGAATTTATTGGAAAATTATAGAACAGTGTTAGAATTGAGCTTGAAATAAATGTTTTTGATCACAAGAGTAAGATAAGTATTTACAAGTTGTTAAATTAAAAGTTTATATAGTTTAGTATGGATATTGATACATTTTACTTTATGATACTCTTACTCTTAAAAAGTGCATTATCTGTACCGGATACTCACTCAACCCTAGTACTTAGCCATGCAGATACTTTTTGGTTTGATTTTATTTATCGCCGATAAGCCCAATATAATGTAAGTGACTGGCATTATGTTTATGGTGGACATAGCACTGTAAACTTAAACTTTCCAGAAACAATGTCTCTCAAGTTACTCTGAATAATCCAGATCTCATTGTTATGAAAATATTTCCTTGGAACTTCTTTCTCCGAAAGAAATATATTGAATAACAAAAGACTGTTGACTGTTAATTATCAAGAGTAATAGGAATATTTTTACTGTAAAGAGATGTTGCCTCACAGCTACCTGGAAAGATAAATAACGTCTGAGTCAGTAAGTCAGTAGAAAAACCCTTACAGATAAAACGATGACTTAATTTACCAAAAAAAAAAAAGTTAACTTCTTTTTCTCTTCCTCTCCCCATCTCTCTCACTGTAGGCTTTTTCTGCTTACTACTTTGTGATGAACTTCCTCAATCTGAGTGACACATCCATCCCTCTGGAAGATGTCAAGAATAAGCTAGCACACTACTGCGCTACCCCTTGGAATCAGGTCAGGGACATATTTATGCATTCATTACGCACACACACACACGCACACACACAAAAATATCCTGCCATATTTATCTACTTTCCTGTCTCATTTATGTCCTCCAGCCAGCCTATACTGTACACTGATGATATCATTGCTTGAACAGATCATCCAGCAGCATCCAGACGTAAAATTGAAATATCTGGCTGAGTACTGTTTCTCTGGCACGTACATCCTCACCCTGCTGACAGAAGGATACAACTTCACCTCAGATAGCTATCACAACATACAATACATCAAAAAGGTCAGTAGATCACAGTCCACTCCTTTCCTATCTCACACACCCCAGAGCCATGCCCTCAACTGATTAGTCGTATGTGTTTGTGTGTGTGCACCGCTGTGTTTATATCTTTGTGAGGACCTATTAGTGCTTTGGACCTTAAGGACATTTTTGAAAAATGATTTTGGCTGGTCCTTTCCCGTCAGAGTAAGATCGGCTGACTCACACTGCAGCTTTTAACTGTATCCTAAAGACCCACCTTCACAAGATGGCCTACACTTAACATGTTTTACCTTCCATTATTTTAATGTGTTTTATAGCATTGCATAATGTATTTTAATTGTGCCTGCTTTAGTATCATCAGTTTACTGTCACTTTTAATATTAATATTTTAGCGCTTTTATCTTCTTTATTTATTAATACATTTTGTATGCTCATGCGGTGTGGGGTGGGGGGGACTCACTTGGGTTTCTCATTGTAATTTTTGTTCTGTATATCTTTTAATCTGAAAAGCACTTTGTTCTTAAGCTTGAAAAGTGCTATATAAATATATTATTATTGTTATTGTTATTGTTTGTATTATTATTATTATGACTGCTTATCCTTCCACATTTCCATGAGCCAATATCATGAGAATATAATGCATCGAAGGCAACCAGTATACAATATTAGTCTCTGCTAGAGACCTGAACTGGAGTGATCCAATAGGAAACCCTCCAAAAAAAAAAAAAAAAAAAATGGAAAAAAAAAATGGATTTAAAAATATTCACCAATAACCAATTCTAGCCGGTTGGGTCATTCCAAGCAATCAAAGTCATTAATTGTACATACCACATACGTACAACCAGTATGCAAACTTAGAGCGGCACAACCTATGCAATAAATGCACAATACATATTATTTGAAGCTAAAACAGCAACAGCAGTACAGACACATAGTTAGCTTACAGGCCTCACTAGGAAAAACAGCCTGCTGAGCCAATAATTATTGTGTTATAATGTAAAAATATTACTTGTTATTTAAAGTGTTTACAGATAAATATACCAGGGGACCAGTGTGTTTGATTTAGTGACATCTAGTGGTG